TATCCTTTTAAGTACTGAAGATTTGCATGTTTAAAAAAAAAGACAAACTAGATATCATCTGCAAAAAAAGTGCAAATTGATCTGCTGACAGTGCACTTATTTAATTTGTGCAAGATACGTTTTTCGAGTGTTAAGCCCTCGATATTGTAAACCTTAAACCAGTAAAGTAAATTAGGCCTTTAACTCAGACTGACACATGATTACTATTGTTGAAACACTCATTCACTTGTACCTGTCTTAATAAAAAAAAGGGGAAAGAGTTGTGAAAATGTTGCTCAGAGCTCTAAAGTTGTTCAAATATAACAGTTCCACTAAAATGGGGAGTGAGATCGTTGAGAAAAAAAAGTAATAACATCCAATGTTCGTGTTCTCTAGTTGGGAGGAAAGTGCACACACATAGTCCTCAGCTTGGGTCACCCTGAAATCAATAAGATGTTTGCTCTTTGTGACACGATAATAGGTGATTAAGCCATCTGTATGAAGGAGAAACTCTGCAATCTGGTATTCTGGATCTGAATGTGAGAATTAAAACAGTCAAGATGGATGACTAAATGTTTGAGGCCAACAGCTGATATGTTTTTAGTCTACAGCTGCTGCTGCTGCTGCTGCTGCGGTTTCTTCAATAACTGCCCCAGAATGAGCAGTAATAGAGTTTCAAGAGGATTTTTCAATGACATGACAGAGAAACTGTCACAGGAAACAGAACGCGTCTTTTTTATCCAACTCTCAGGCTTAATGGGTTTTATTTTCATCCATTCAGTATCAGGTCATCTTGCAGTACAAACAAATAATTGCTCTGTTAGTTGGACTGGATGAATATGGTAATATGATCATTAAAATGAAGATGGTATAATTTTTGTTTTTCAGTGTCCCCCTGATGCAGGCTCAGACCAAGGCCACAAACACTTTTGAAATGACGGGTCTCTTCAGTGAACAAACTCTCTGATGAAAGTTTTCCCTCTTTTTAAAATGACCTTGCCTTTGTTGATCAGTTGAAGGCCTGGTAGCTCATAATTTCTAGTTATCATTAATTCAAATTATCCTCAGCATTTCAAGGAACAGATTTAGCCCTTTGTATGAAGAATGAAACCAGAACATTTCAAACCATTTTGTCATGATAATGGTGTTAAAAAAGATTTCCTAATCATAAAATTCAGGTCAGTCAAGGTTTCCTTTGTTTCTAATTCACATGTTCCTTGTGCCGACTGTGAAAAGCCTCAGATGGAGAGCGGTAACATGTAACTGAGAGTGTAACATATATCAGGAGAAAAGGAGCTGAAGTAACTTTTCAGAATACTTTGATATGTTAGACAATAAAAAATAAATAAATAAATAAAATGTTTTTATTGTGCCAGTTTGGGTTTAAAGACCCACTCCAATGAAAATCATGTTTTTTCTTGTTGTCTACGTGTTCACATGGCATTATTCTGATGCTACAGGACAAGGAGAAAAGTAAGTGTGTAATTGCATTTCTGAGTATTTCTACATTTAAATTGCTGTGAATCTCCGGCAGAACCAAACGGCAGGTTCAGACACAGTGAGATTTCCTACGTAGCAAATCCAAGCACCACCCCTTGAGCCCCACTGTGCAGGCCAGACTCAGAGAAGTAGAGAGGACGATCGTGGAACAAACGTGCGTAAGTGGATTGCAATGTTCGTAAGAAAGCTAATTGTGATATTAACTTTCATCATGTCTCCAAAGACATTCGTGTTAGAGAGCTGAATAGCTCCTATGTTACCTGCCACTTCTACTACACCAGCAATATTAGGCTACATGAGCTAGCATGAAGAGGAGTGTGCAGAGCAGCGCTGTCTTTGCCCACGACTCAGAGACGAATTACTAATGAGCTACTGGAGCTCTGCAGTAGAAAAGCCATTGGAAATGACACAGGTAATGTGATTTTGACTAATCACAGCTTAAAGACCACTGAGAACATTTTAAGTAGTAAAAAATAAATAAATAAGAAATCAGAATGGGACTTAAAGGAGTTAAAAATACAATTCTAACATAAGTTAACCTTTACTTTAATAGGCTACTGGAGCTATGCAGGAGAAAAGCCCTTGGAAATGACACGTGATTTTGGCTAAAAACTTCATAATCACAATTTAAAGACCACTAAGAACATGTTTAATAATTAAAAAAACAATACGGTGGAGTGGGACTTAAAAGCACTACCTAACTGCAGCATGTCTTTGTGGTAAATGTGAATGAATGCACTCTTGAAGCCCTTTCCTGCTTTAGGGATGCATTTCACAGTCACCAATTTACAGTGATAGCAGAGGCTGCTCTGCAAAGTGTCTGTCAGAATTAACTTTTCCTTTTAAGACACATACACACATATTAACACAGCATGGTTATGCCACCAGGAAAAACTGGGGTTCAGTGTCTTGCCCAAGGATACACAACTCTAACCTTGGAATGAAACCTTCAATCTTACAAATGATAGACTGGTTTGAATAAATGATGAACTTAGAAAATAGCTATGTGTCCCTAGAAATGTGTTTCCCTGAAAGCTAAGGGTGTGTTTGCACTCAGCAAACAAAATGACTGCCTCATACCCTGAGGCTTCCTACTGTGACCTCTACATGGTAATATCTCTTCAGCTAGCTACAAGACTATGATAGTTAGCCTAGGCAAAAGCCCTATATAGCACTGTCTCTTGTCTTGTAATCACTCAAAGCACTTTCACATGACATGCCACCATCACCTGTTCAAATCGTACTCATCAATAGTTGGCAGAGGCTACTGTGTACAGCATTACTAGCATTAGCACCAAGCTGTTTCAGGACAGGACCTCTGATAGGGTGTGCATGTGTGATGAAAAGTGAAACCTGAGTCCCCACACAACTGGAAGTCAGATGTGGACCACAGATGGAACATGATTCTCTTGTCATGGCAGCTGGCACAACCATAAAATCCCCCACTGACTTTAAGGTCTCCTGAGCAGAAACATGACAATTTCTCTGTGGAGCATAACAATGGACAAAGACTCTGTTGTTCAAAGTCAGCTGCCTCTGACATTTAAAATATTTAAATAAGACTTTAAAATATTCCGAAAGACATCTGAGCAGGTCTGTGAGGCTAAACCATCACTGCTGCACGATATGCGGTGTAAAAAGGAAGTTCTGGGAGTAATTAATAAAGGACAGGAGATATGTTGTGTTGCATATGATTATCAAAAATATCGTTACCTGGGTACTACCAAACTATATCAAAAATGAACCAACTGTAAGCCTCATATCAGTATTAACTCGTCCCCTTAAAACATTGCTGGGTGTTGCCAGACCTCAAGGCCTCACAAGACCTCACGTGCCCATCATTCCTAAATAGGCCTTCTGTCTTTAACGAGTCCCCCCCTTGTGGCCGCTGCAAAGAATTCAGGTATGACGTTTGTCTACATTGTTTTTTTTTTTTCTTTCGAAATACCCTGACCCAGTTATTTATTATAAATATATACTGTCTTTGTGTGAGTGTTTCTGCTCCTGTTGTGTTCATGAAGATGAGATGACAGAAGGACACAAATCAGTATGCTTAAACACATGCTTGTACTCTCTCTCTCTCACTGTTTGTGTGTGTGTGTGTGTGTGTGTGTGTGTGTGTGTGTGTGTGTGTGTGTGTGTGTGTGTGTGTGTGTGTGTGTGTGTGTGCGTGTGCGTGCGTGTGTGAATGCATCTGTTACCCACTGTATGTGTCAGAAGGGAGAAGGGCTTGAGAAGCTTATCCCCTCCACTTGGCTGCCTCAGTCATGGAAACTCTTTTCAACAATAGGACGGTTGGCACACAAGGGGCGAAAAGCTGTCAGAGAGAAACACTCTGAAACCCTCATTCTCTCTTTCATTTCACTCACTGTAGTAATAAAGGGTATTCTGGTACAAACTGAATAAATCTTTTGAACATAACCATATAAACGGAGAAATGTTGATCATAAATATCACGTATTTCATAAATATTTCAAACTCTGCTTGCTCCGTTCCCGTCTCCTTAAATCTCTAAATTATCAATGTTTAAAGCCATGAAATATTAAACCTCGCCTTGATGCATGGGCACTATTTTCCCACTTTTGGCTTTGAAGCCCACAGCCAACAGTAGTTGACTGCAGATAGAATATAACAAAAACTGAAAATGACCGAGCTGGTTAATACTCCAAACTCGAGGAAATCAATACTTTCTACTTTCTGCTGTTTCTGCTTCTCCAGAATGTGCAACACCACAAACTCTCTACAACAGTTACAGGGCCTTCTATATAAACGATTACAAATGCAAGGACGGCTGCAGTAGGTAGCTCAAAGTAAAACCGGTTTTGTCTGACCACTCAATGAAGATCGGCTCTGCAGCCCTGTGTGTTTTAACTGTATCATATTTTCATGACTGCATCCAGTGACTCGTTTAAAAAAGACCCAACCTCAGCAACAGCCCAAGCTCTCCAAGAAAGCGAGGGAAGACTCCCAGATCTGCTGGATGAAACCTTGGTCTTGTTAAAAAAAGAGTGGGATTGGAGAAGTTAGAGACATGAGCAGGAACCAGCAGAAGAGGACTTCATTTTGACGTCCTTGCTGGTTCTTCTAAGCATTTCATCACCCACAGTCTTGATTTTGAAGGCCTGCTTCAAAGGATTGTTCACAAGAGGCTGTTTATTACTCTGGAAGGCTTCATTTCTCCTGGCATTAATCTGTCTCTGAACCTGGAGGATCTAGATCATATCAGCCAAAACTTCATTCCTTGTACAATCTTTGGTCTGATCACTAGCCAATGGGCCTTTCTCTCTCATCACCTGCTCCTCAGCCTCCTGAATTTCTCGCTGCAGAGCCTGATTCCGTTGACTCAGAGATTTGTTCTCTTTTTGCTTTGAAGGGTTTGGATTTCCCTAAATGGATCTTGAAGAGACTATTTTTTTTGTTTTGCAACCTCCTCTCCATCAAGAAACCTCTTTTGAGTTTCCTGCAGCTCTTGCTCAGGGGGCTTGATCCGTTGACTCTCTTTCACTCACTTTTTCACTCTTTCACTCACTGGATATGTTTTTTGTGTTGCTCAAAGTCCATTGTTCATCTTCGTCTCCTTCAAAGTCCAGGAACCGTTCAGGTCCCTCAGTCCCTCCTTCATACATCACACACTGTGCCAGCTGTTTTGGTGGCATTCTATGCATCTCGTGGGCCAGAGCTAAGCTTGCAATGAGTCCCATTTGCTTCTCTGTCAGCCTCCCACATTGTCTCCGAAGGATGGGTACGATGCAACATGTGAGAAAGAAAATCAGGATTAGAACTATCACAGCACTCATGGCTGCCTTGGCCAAAACGGCTCCCCATTTTCCAAAAATTTGGTCCGACCAGTCCAATGACAGGTATCCCCCTTTACCAGCATTCTCCTGAATTTCTGCTCTCAGACTCAGAAGTTTTTCATGGCTTTAGAGAAAGCTCCCTCAGGAGCTGTGTTGTTAGGGATATAAGTACAACAATATTTTCCAAATCTCGCACACACCCCACCTTTTTCTGCCAACATCCAATCTAAAACCTGTCTGTTCTGTAATGTCATTGTGCTTGTGGCATGAAGTTGTTCACCAAATGCTTTGAACATTTCAGTTGAGTAATTTAGAAATCTCTGCTGTGTATAGTATAGGTAATTCATCCACTTTACATTTTTATTAATTGTTATCCAAGGAAGTATGGACTCCAACCCTGCCCTAACTTCATTTTGGGCCTTGAATTCATCTGGTATGCCTGTTGGCAGACCTATCGCATCCAGTTCGATTGTTTCAGAAGGTGTGAACTGACACTTAACCCTTGACACTCCCTCTTTAATCTCCCTGATGCTAAGGGCCTGGTTTACACCCTCATATGTCAGTACTACTGATATTTGTAATCTCACTAAGGCACATAGCCCTATCCACTTGTATGGAAGGACATTTCGTAACACATCATCCCTACACATCCAGTAGCTATCTACAACCCCATTAGACTGTTCACAAAACAGGCGTAAATTTGGAGTTGTCATAGTTAGATCTTCACACTTTTCCTGACGTGGACCTGGGTTCTCAAACCACACCGGTTCATGAACAAAAATTGGAGTTATATTTGCATGTGGAAACCAAGATAGTACCCAAGTAACATTGCAATGTGCAGTGGTGTTCCCCACTTCTATTACTCTGGAGTCATTTAAGAATCCTCCACTGGCAAAACACTCATAACTCTGTGTGTAATCTACCTTGTACTTCATTGGTGGCTCAATTTGATCAGTTGACAACTGGAATTCTGCACATTTAGAATCAAACTTGCAAGTTGGACATTTGTCTAGATAGTCATGACTACGTCTGGACCCATATAGGAGCGTACACATAATACCACAAATAGGATATTTAAACAACCCCTGATATAAAGGTGAACGTTCTAGCGAATCTTTATCTATGGTAAAATTTCCCTCTTTACATTTCTTACATTTCTAATCACTCACTTCAGTCACATAGCCTCTTTAGTACCATAGGAAAACTTCCCGGCCTCCTGGACTTCTCTTCCAGTGGTTTTGTTGACTCAGAGATTTATTTTCCTGAGTAGTTGCATTGTGGGTACTCTGAGAGGCTGTCAGATCCCCACAATACACCTGAACTCCTGTGTCGTAACTTTTTTTTTTTTTTTTTTGCTGGCCTCTTCTTCATGTAGCAACCCTTTTTTGAGTCCCCTGAAGTTGTTGTCCCAGGGCCTCTTTCTGCAGCCTCATGGCCTTCACTTTGGACATTTGAAGCTCTCATTGGTCTTCAACTGATCCACTCTCAGAGCCTGTTTTTCTTCATGTACAATCTCCATTTTGTTTTCCGCCCCACAGCTTCTCCTGCGAAGTTTTTCAAGTGTGAATTTCAAAGTGAGGGTTTCATCTTTCAGGTCATTTATCAGTCTTATCATGCTATTTGTCTTGTCAGCGAGAGTGGCCTCCATCCTACTGGACATGATGTCATTTTCGTTTTGGAGGGCCTTGTTTATAGCTCTGTACATCCCAATTTCTAAGAGGATGGTCCTTTTCTTCTTGCCAGTACAACTCTCAAGTTCACTTTGAAGTGTGTAGCATAGGCTCTGGTTTCCTTTGTTCAGGTCCTCATTGCTCTTGCTGAGGACCTCTTTGTCTTGTCTGAGGGTTTCAGTCTCATCTTTAATTTCCCTGAGTGAACCTTCCCAAAAGGATCAATAAAGTTCTATCTAATCAAATCTCATCTAATCTCAGAGATTTGAGGCTGTTCTAAAGAAACTAAAAAGAATCTCTGTCCAAGTATCACTGACTCTCATACAACAAGTGTACTCTGAGCTGTATGATGGAAATCTAACAGATGAAGATCATTCATTCAAGAGCTTTTATGCTGACAGCTGGTTATATATATTCAGTACATATGTAGATTAGCTGATTTGACAGTGCTGTGACTTGACCTGCAGACACGACCACACAATAGTACACCCAGTGCAAAGCTTTCTGACATGAAGCATGTTTCAAAAGCAGCTAAATTTTTTTCCCATGTCAGCACCCAGCGGTGTGTTGGTTTTAAAAAAGGTGAGTTGCAGGGACTCGCGATGGGGCATACTATGACACTCTTGAGGACAACTGGCACCATCCTGGGAATGAAATAATAATGAGAATATTTCAAACTGATCAAAATCAACAAGTCTTGAAAATAGGAAACGGTGAAAGCTAGAGTAGCATCTTAACTTTCTAGTTAATAGAAATCACATGTCTCTAAGTAAGCTTACTTTCTACAAGCCGAGCACTGCAGCATCCTTGTCCGCTATTTTTTTTTTTTTTTACTGTAAATGAGTGATAAGTGTCAGAGCATGCCTCATGTCTTAGCTGAGTATTTGGGCTAAATGAAGGACCACAAGGGTCACAGAAAATGTAAAAAGCAATTAGACAAATAAATAAGGAATAAATAAACTGGTTATTAGGCTCACTGATTAAAACATAAATGAGTTATAAAAAGAGTTTAAAAAGGGATATATATTCAAACATGTAAATCATAAAAAAATACTGTGTGAAAATGGAATTGAAACCATTTAGCCTGTCTACATCAGTAACCCTTTGGTGCCTTGAGTGAGGTGAAACAATACAAATTAACCATACACAAGCTCTCTGATTGGTTAAACACTGGCCTATCACATGCATCTCTTATGACTCCTATGATATAATTATCATGTATTTTTACAGAGTTCCAAGTCAGACATTGGAACCCCAATATTCTGATTAACTGTGATCATTTCACAGGTTCCTGACTGATGAGCAGACACACAAACTTCAGGAGAGAGACAGGCTCATATTTGATGTTGAAAACACATTTGATCACACTAGATCACCGCAAACATTAGTATACAGCCACTTCCTGTTTCACACTAAGGATCGAGTGAGTGTATCAGACTCCTACTTCAAAGATTATTTCAGAGATGAGTGCTCAAAAGATGGAATAAACTACCTCTTTCTCTTGTGGGTCGGATAGAAACAATTAAAATGAACATTTTACCGCGTTTCCTTTTCCTCTTCCAGACCCTACCCCTTTATTTGCCCAAGTCATATTTCAAATCACTGGAAGCAATTATATCATCCTTTATTTGGGCAGGTAAGACACCAAGAATTTCTAAGTCGGTTTTGCAGAGGCCTAAACAGGATGGCGGCTTTGCTATGCCCAATATGTTGTTTTACTATTGGACTGCAAACCTCCAAATGATCAAGAAATGGTATCACTCTCCTCAGATCAATTGGTGTAATATGGAGGCAAATTCTTGTATTAAATCTTCTCTCCCTGCCTTACTTTTTGCCCCCCTACCAACCAAGTATTCCCAATATACCAATAACCCTGTCGTCCTCTCTTTGCTAAAAATCTGGAACCAAATTTGACAACATTTTAAGTTTAAATCTCCCTCAGTTCTTATCCCTATTTGTAACAACCATTTGTTTATACCTTCTTCCCTAGACAGAACATACACCAAGTGGAAGGAGAAGGGCTTAGTCTCTTTCGGCGACCTATACATTGAAGGAACTTTTAGCTGTATGACGGACATAGCCATGACCTATGAAATACAAAACATGAGTTTGTTTAGATTTATCAACTTCGCAATTTTGCCAATACCCATTTTTCAACTTTCCCAAGCCTACCGGCAAAACATATTCTGGAAATTATAATGGCCCCATCTGATACCTTTAATAATATTTCTTCAATTTACAGTAGCCTTAATTCTTCCCAAGCATCCTCATTAATCGAGTTGAAGGACTTGTGGGAAGGGGAACTTGGGATCAACCTGGGGGAGGACTTGTGGAGTGAAGTGCTGCACAGAATTAATTCTTCCTGTGCATGTGCCCGCATGTGTCTTATTCAATTCAAAGTTGTACACAGGCTACACTGCACTAAGGCCAAGTTGAGCAGAATGTTTCCCGACGTTAGAGACTCTTGCACTAGATGTAATTATTCACCTGCAGATCACACACATACTTTTTTTTCTTGCCCAAAGCTTTCTTCTTTTTGGACACATTTCTTTGATACCATTTCAGCGATCCTTGGTGTATCGGTTCTCCCATGTCCACTAATTGCCATATTTGGTGTGTCCCCTACGGTGGGTAGCTTAAACAGGTGTCAGAAAGATTCGATAGCATTTACTTCTCTTATAGCTAGACGACGCATACTGCTCCAATGGAAGAGCCCTAACCCCCCATCCACGACATCCTGGCTAAAAGATTTGTCATCATTTCTTCACCTAGAGAAAATTAAATTCACAATTAAAGGCTCCTTGACTGGTTTCCATAGAACTTGGGACCCATTCCTCTCATATATCAACTCCTTGACTTCAGTCGACTGAGCTCTCAGTATTTTTTCCCCTCTTACTTTACTCTGTGGTATTATTATCACCACTATAATTACTACTATCACTATCATAGTTATTATTATATTCATATTTTTTATTTTATTTCTTTTTTTCCTTTGCTTTATCTAATCTTTTTTCAATTCCTCTCCCCACAGGGCAGGTGGGTGGGTGGGTGGGTTGATAGATGTTGGGGTTTGCACAATCTTGTCCCGTTTCCCGTACTGTATTGTATTGTGTAGTATGTGTCCTGAGTGTTATGTGTCTTGTATGTTAAAAACTGAAAATCCAATAAAAACAGTATTAAAAAAAAAAAAGAGATGAGTGCTTAGGAAATGTTCATGTTCATGGTGGTTTTTGATTTTACATTCATTGAGCTTAACAGTACAGTGTTTGACACTGGACTATGGTGTTTCACTTAAAAAAGTGACCCTGCAAATTGGGGATTTTCAGCCTA